TCTCTCTCTCTCTCTCTCTCTCTCACTATCTCTCTCCACAAACACACATGAAACATATGAAAATCTCACCTATCCATCATCCCACTAAATGAAATTTGGGTGAAGAAAAAAAAAGGGGGATGAAAGAAATGCTTAAGAAACAAATTTTAGATTGAAGATTCAGAGAAATGTGTATGTCTTAATTAGAGTTACTAATGCTGTGATAAAATATTGTGACCAGAGCAAGTTGAGGAGAAAGGGTTTATTTGGCTTACATTTCCATAACACTGTTCATCATTGAAGGAAGTCAGGGCAGGAACTCAAACAGGGCAGGATCCTGGAGGCAGGAGCTGATGCAGAGGTCATGGAGGAGTGCTGCTTATTGGCTTGCTCCTCATCACTTGCTCACCCTGCTTTCTTTTAGACTCCAGGACCACCAGTCCAGGGGCTGACACCACCACAATGGGCTGGGCTGGGACGTCCCCTATTGATCACAAATTAAGAAAATGTCTTACTGCTGGATCTTATGAAGGCATTTCTGAACTGAGTTTCCTTCCTTTCAGATAACTCTAGCTTGTGTCAAGTTGACATAAAAGTAGCCAGCGCAGTGTATTTCTGATATATCTTCAAGAACTTTAAGAGTGTGCACACTTTTTTTTTTCTATGCAACATTTTTGAAACAGCAAAAATTGGAAACAATGTAGTTGTTCACATAATTGTTCAGTTAGATAAACGACACTATGCAGTCATTTTAAAACACTAATGTGGGGCTGAAGAGATGGCCCAGGTTGACAGCACCTACTGCTCTTCTAGAGGATCAAAGTTCAGTTCCCAGTACCCATGTTGGGTGGCTCACAACTGCTGTAGCTCTAGCTCATGCAGGCATACATAAATCAAAAAGTAAATAAATTTAAATAAAGCAAATTAAAAGTCTGGAACTGGGTATGGCGACCCGTGCCTGTCATCTTAGTACTAGGAAAGCTGAAGCAGAAAGACAGAGGTTAAGACCAGCCTGGACCACAGAGTAAGACCCCAACTCAAAAAAAAGGGCTGAGGTGGCTCTGTGGCGCAATGGATAGCACATTGGACTTCTAGTGACAGAACAAGCAAATGAAGTCTATACACCTAAAGAAGATAAACAAGAAAGCAGACACGGGGTAAGATGATCAATCCTCACTTAGAAAAACAAATGAGATGTGCATTGGACGTATGACAGGAGCCTACCACAGAAGGCATCTGAAAGACTCTACCAAGCAGCGTTTCAAAACAGGTACTAAGACTCATAACCAAACCCTCAGCAGAAGAGGAGTTAGTATGACGTGGAAAGGATAGGAGCCCCACAAGGACCAAATATATCTGGGCACAGGGGTTTTTTGAAACTGTTTCTCCAACCAAGGACCATGTATGGATATAACCTAGAACCTCTGCTCGGATGAAGCCCGTGGTAGCTCAGTAACCAATTGGCTTCCCATAGTAAGGGGAACAGGGACTATCTCTGATGGGAACTCAATGGCAGGCTCTTTGACCTCCCCACCCCCCAAGGGAGGAGCAGTCCTGCTAGGCCACAGAGGAGGACTTTGCAGCCAGTCCTGAAGACACCTGATAAAACAGGATCGGATGAAAGGGGAGGAGGTCCCCCCTATCAGTGGACTTGGAAAGGGGCAGGAGGAGATGAGGGAGGGAGGGTAGGATTGGGAGGGAATGAGGGAGCGGGATACAGCTGGGATACAGAGTTAATAAAATGTAACTAATAATAATAAACAATAAAAAAAAAAAAGGCTGAAGAAACCGCTAGTGGTTGCGCCGTGCTTGTGTGGCGCTCTTCCCGAGGCCCCAGGTTCTGTCCCCAGCGATCACATCAGGCCACTCACAGCTGCTGGTAACTCCGGTTCCGGCCTCTAGCCGATGTGAGCACCTGCACTCCTAAAGCACATATTCACACATAAGTACACACGTACACACATAATTAAAAAACAAACCTCAGGCTGGAGAGGTGGCTCAGACTCTAAGAACACTGGCTGCTCTTCCAAAAATCCTGAGTTCAGTTCCAGCAACCACATGGTGGCTCACAACCATCTATTGTGATATCTGCTGCCCTCTACTGGTGTGCAGGCGTACATGCAGACAAAAATGCTGTATAAGATAGATAGATGGATGGATGGATGGATGGATAGATAGATAGATCGATCTTTAAAGAGAAAACCTTTTAAACACACAATAAATAAATAGCAATGGACCAGAGCAGAGATAACCCCCCGGTACTGCAGAGTGAAAACACAATGAGAACAGTGCAGTGTTTACAGGTGTTTCCAGATGTGGAGCAGCTGGTTTAGCGCACCGCTGAGAATATCAACAGAGGAACCTTAGAAGGAAAATGGGGCTCAGGGCTAGTGAACAACTTTTAACTTGCTTCTAAAACAGAAACAAATCCTCTCCTTGACAACTTCATATGTGTATGTAATGCACTGGGGGGGGGGGTACTCTCTTACCTTCCTCTCATCCCTGTCCACACTCCTATCTCATAGGCTACCCCACCCATCATGACAAGCTAGAAACACATTTTGCAACCATTTTGTTACTGCTGTTCATATACACATAGGGGTTTAAGCATGAAAAGGGGGCTGTTCACCATCTCTGCAAAATATTTTGATCAAAGTAAGGTTTTTGAGAACAAGGCAAAGATTTGAAGTTAAAAAAAAAAAAAACTAACAAATTCCCTATTATCCAGAAAGAAATAGGTGGAGAACTGAATAAAGTTAGATAAATATGCAAGAAATGAACTTTCAAAATGAGAAAATCTCTAATAGCTGCTTATTTTTAGAAGCAGCTAGTTGGGGTGGGGATGTAGTTCAATGAATGAGTTCATAATGAATGAGTGAATGAATGAATGAATGAATGAATGAATGAATGCAGTTGATGATTGGTCCTATTCTGTTTGTCCACTGTCAATGTTCTAAACTTCTATTTTTAACTTATGTATTTATTCATCCATTCATTTTTCTGGAAGTGGGCACGCCCTGCCCCATGAACATGTAGATCTACCATGTTGCTCCTGGGAACTGAACTCAGCTCATCAGGTTTGGCAGCAGGGCACCTTCACATGCTGAGCCATCCCACCTCCCCCTTCAACAGTTCTCTAGAGAGGTTTAAAGCCGCACTGCTCTGCCCCCTTATCTACAGTACAGTGTAGACTTCCGGTCTTCATGGGGTCATTTTTCATCCAACTTCCGACTGCCCTGAAGATGCTGCGACAATAATGACTGTGCTCTGGTTGGTTGCTTACGGTTTTGCAGACACAGAGCCAAAGTGGTTAAACAAAGGGCAACGTGGACTTTGCCACTGGACAGACCTGGCATTCTGCTTCTCTGTTCCCCTCCTCGCCCTCAGCACAAAGACCCTCATAGGAGATTTCATGTCTTTTAGAACTGTGATGAGGACTGGAGCCTGCTACTCAGCAGGAACACTGGACATGACAGACGTCGTTATTAATTTCTGTCCCTGTTGAACAGCAGATGGCTAAGGGCGAGGTAAGGCTTTTTTGCCTTTTTTATGATTTCCCCCAGTGTCTCTACAACACTGATGCCCATTTCGGAAAGCTGAAGGTCACCTGGAAGTCCTTTAGGAGAGCTCTGAGAGACCGGCACGCCAGCCGGAGTGC